CTCTTTGCGTATCGTAGAAGAGAACTACTTGAACCACATATCGAGGGTGGTTTGGGTGTTGGGAGTGTTGCAAAGATCAAGCTGAAAGTTGCGAAGGAATTATGATCAGCATGGTGACGTTCCTATGATACGTCGAGCAGGGAGCAGACATCACGAAGGAGGTTTATTTTCTCGGTTCTAGTACATTTTGCTGCGACAGGTGCCGCATCTTAATTGTTTTCCTCCTTCTCATCTGCCTCCAAAACCTCTTTTATAATCTTGTCGTCGGCTAGCTCAGGCTAAGCAGTCTTATTTTCTTCGTTGGTGACGAGAAGCTCCGAAATCTTCATGGATCTCGGACATGCAGCTTCTTGAGATGTACCGTAAGCTCTTGATCCAGCTCACTTTTTCCACCTCGAACTCCGTTGCGCCATCTTTACTCATTCACACCTCCACTGCGCTTGAATGGTCGATTCAGTAGAAGAAGCCCCGTGTGACTGAAGCAGTTGGCAATAGTAGTGTCTTATGTCTTTTTCCAGGCAGCCACCGACCAGCGCATGGCAGCATATGTCTACGTTGCAGACATTAAAATCTTCTCTACGCTCTTCACAGTTAATCGCATTCTGTAGATGGTAACGCAAAACCGCCGATTGAACGCTGCGATAACACCACCATCCATCAGCTGAATGATGGAGGTTGTACGTGATGGAAGCAGCTGGACCTTGACGTTAGTTAACGTTAGGTCATTCATCACTTGCGGCGGAGCATTTTCAACCAATAGAAAGACATTTCTACTTTCAATTTAAAACCCTAGAATATTAAGCTTTCTAATTTCAATTGGTTGCGCACCTTCATTGTTTGTCTAGATTTGCAAGCCATTCCTGGAAGAACACGCCCGTAATCCAATACTTTATGTTGTTGCGATAGACAATTTCATGTGCTTGATCCGATACTTGTCAAAGCAGCATAGCTTCTTGTTTTTCCAATAAAGAAAGGCTACAGCTTGTCAGAGTCATCAGCATTTGCAGTTAGCGCATATATAATCAGCGATTGCATAAGATCTCAGTGCATACCCCTGTGTTAGTATGTGACAACAAGCATTCTGCAATATACTCACCTTTTCTTTTTGTGTCCTTCAACAATTTTGCTGTGCAATAGTCCTGTCAGGTTTCATGCTGCAGTATAGTCCTGCAATGTAAATTTGTCAGACTAGGTTTCAACTAGGAATGTAACAAAATGTTTTTACCGTTTTCATCCATTTTGTAAACATTACACAGCGCGTACTCTACGATGGCCTTCTTTACATCAGACGTAGCTTTATTCATCGCCTACACGTCCATCGGTCCACTTTTACCGTATACGTTGATAGCGCATAGCATGTGACGTTGCTGAAATTTCATGAAGCCATCCGTGAGAGAAAGCTATGGCGTTGTCAGGAGAACCAAGCAATTGAGCAAGCCTATGAGCCTTCGCACAGATGATATCCCCGGTAAAATTTACTCTGAGGTGTTGACATTGAAGGACCCAAAAACCGAGATTCTTCCAGTATGGGATGTTGATTCAGTCGCTGTTGCTTTGCATTTAGGCTGCTTGGATCCATATTCTATAGATTAGACCACTTTTAAAATATCTTGCTGATTGATGCCTGTGACAGCGTTTGGAAAAGGACATACTCCGCCGTAGCCCATTTCTCCAGTGCCGTTTGAGAAAAATCTGGGTTCTCATCCCTGTGTTTGCGTATTTGTAGACGTTGTCCATTTGAAGGCACATTTTCGACATCTTATACTGCTCCGATATCTCACCAACAGGCAATACACGGTTGAAAAATGATGTGTGGCTTTCCCTGTGTAAAAATTGTTCGTTTGGACGAAAAAAGCTATGGGTATGTCTCATACCGCTGAAAGAGTAGAAAACTAGCCAGGAGCCTCAGACATTTATTCAGTTCCAGCAGTGATAGCCTTAGGGATGGATTTTTGCTTGTACTCAAGGGAAGTGGGGGCCAGTTTGGGTGTCCAGGTCCTCTTTTATATCACTCAATTAATTGATTCTCCTCATGTAAGATACGAAAAAAAATAACAGCTTATGACATCTGGTAAGTTATGGTGTTTGTCGGCAACCGTACCTATAACTTATCGGAGGAAAGATTGTAAATTCTTTTTTTGAGAAGATCAAAGTATTATAAATTTACGTGATATCTAAAAATGAAATTCAAAGATGTTACTTACTGTGTGTCTTTTACAATTTGTTTGTAACCAATTTGTAAACAAACTCACTTTATAATTTTTTCGGAGTAGATTTTTACTATGGGAATCCCCGCTATTGCAATTATAAATATGTGTATAGCCAATCGCAACATGCACGCTGACACGACAGAATTTTCGCGCAATAGTATCCTGTTTGGTAACACAGAACAATATTATGTCGACTATCTTTCAAGTAAATTATAGTCGATTCAAGTTTAAAGATATTGTAAATGCACGCCCACGAAATTACTAAATGGACGCTTTTTTAATTAACTGATAATCGCTGTTAATTACTACTCTTTAATATAAAAATTCTAACTCGTCAACGCTTGCGTGTCCGGAGATAGTCTTGTCGTCGATCACACGGCATGTATTTCTGTAAAAAAACGGGTTTAAATTATCGACCTTCCTCGCCTTGTGCCGGAAATGACTGGTTAGGAAAAAAGCTAATCCATTTTAACACGAAAAAAGTCGACTATCAATGAAATAAGGAGACAGTAGGTTAAATCAAGACGATAAAATTGGAGCCTCAATGTGGTCATAGTCTCCCTCAAAGACACTCCGCCTCGATGTATATTTCTACAGCAAGGGTTCATTGTTTGTTTAAACGTCGCGCGGCAGTATGATCTGCTAAATTGTGATTAAGTGGATGATTGAGCTGGCCTTTGAGGGTCATATATCCTTTGAACTGTTAACATAGCACCGTCTACTGCTTTTTATGTGCACGGATAGGTTTGGAAGAATCGAGAAGGACTGGCTGAGAAGAAGCACAGCATGACGTCATCGGGTGACGTCACAAGGAGAGCTTCTTAAACCTTCTGGAAGATCTTGAGAAGATCGAAGGGTGTTGATTGGTCTAGATAAACCAGTGAACCTTCTAGAAGATCTTGAGAAGATCGAAGGGTGTTCATTGGTCTAGCTAAATCAGTGGGACTGATATAGTTTGTCTAAGTATAGGAAATGAGTGGCTTAGAGGTAGCGAAGCAAGTTTGCGAACTAAGGACCATAAATATATTCACTTCACAATTTGCCTTCGCCTGCGCACATCAACCTCAACAGGTTAACAGCCGCAACGCGCTCCAAACCGCCAAGCCACCACGTCCACCATGACAAACAAGCGGTGTGAAGTCCTCCTGGGTAGTGGAAACTACTTCCACTGGGAGTATAACATGCGCATGACGTTGGCACGCAAGGGGCTGCTGGTGCACGTTCAAGTCATCAAGAAAGAAGAAGAGATGACGGATGCCTGGCTGTTCAACGACGCTAAGGCACTGGGTATCATCGCTCAAGGCATAGAGCTACAGCACCAGACCAAGATACGATCGGCGACGACAGCTATGCACGCGTGGGTCATCTTGCGGGACTTCTACAACCGCACCACGCTCCATAATCGTGTCACGATGACACGTCGTCTGCATGAGTTCAAGATGGAGAATGGTTCGACCATGTCGAAGTACTTGGATGCTTTTGACGAGCTTGTTGTCGGCCTCCAGACACTTGGAGAGCCAGTCGATGACTCTCGGCAGCTAGTGGTGCTGCTTAGTAGTCTTCCGACGGACTATGAGCTCATCTCGTCAGTTGTGGAGAATTCCAAGGACATTACGCTCATCGAGGTCAAGGAAAAGCTGCTCAAGGAGCATGAACGATTGCAGAGGAAGGAGACTACGGAGAAGGCGTTTCCTGTAAGCAGCAACGGTAGACGGTTCAAGGGAGGCCAAGGTAACGGCCGCAAGGGAAACTATCTACGGAAAACCAACACCGGAATTAAAGGCAAGTGCTTTAAGTGTGGTCAAGTCGGACACTATAAGCGGGACTGCCTGAAGCGTAGCAATGGCGAGGAAGAAGGTGCTGTTTTTGCTGCTGGTGAGTTGCAATGCGAAGAATGGCTTATCGACAGCGGGGCTACGTCGCACATGACACCACATCGGAGCGATCTATTTGAGTACAAGGAGTTGAAGACTGGTCAACAAGTCTCTATCGCTGATGGCAAGAAGCTGCAGGTAGCTGGAGTGGGAACAGTCAAGCTGAAAGGTCTAGACGGTCGACGGATCATGATGGTCGATGTCATGCACATACCAGGACTTGACAAACGATTGCTGTCCGTTGGCAAACTGGCAGGACGAGGCATGAGGGTGGAGTTTCAAAGCTCGTCCTGCATCATTTGGAGTGCCAAGCGCGCGATTGCAAGCGGCAAGAAGATTGGCAAGGCGTACTTCCTGGATTGCGAACAAGAAGAAGCCCGGCTTGTAGAATACGCAGGGGCTGAAAGTGAGTGGGAGCTTTGGCACGCTCGCTTGGGACACCCCGGAAGATCTGGTATGGACAAGACACAGCGCGCTACGAGTGGTATGCCGGCGGTAAAGCAGGGCATCGAGAAGCTGTGCAGTGGATGCATGAAGGGCAAGCTGACGATCGATACATTCCCGTCTCAATCGCTAACAAGGACGTCACGTGTGTTGGAACTAGTACACACGGACGTGATGGGACCGATGAAGACGGTCTCAAAGGGTGGTGCACGATTCGTATTGACATTCGTAGACGACTACTCAAGATTTGTGGCAGCGTACTTCATGAAGCACAAGAGCGAGGTGGCCGCAAGGCTTAGCGAGTTCAAGGCTTTCTATGAGAATCAATGAGGGCAAGCACTTGAAGTGTATACGGTCGGATAACGGGACGGAGTTTGTCAACAAGAAGATTGCCCATATATGCGCCCGTAATGTTATCATGCACCAGCGGACAGTACCATATAGTCCGCAACAGAACGGCGTTGCGGAACGCATGAATCGCACTATCATGGAGAAGGCAAGGAGCATGCTGTACTACAAGGGTATCGACATGCAGTGGTGGGCAGAGGCGGTCAGTACGGCTGTGTACTTGATCAACAGATCCACAAACTCTGCAAATTCGGACGTAACACCGTTCAAGGTTGGTTTCAAGATAAAGCCGAGTATTGAGCATTTGCGTGTGTTTGGATCGCAAGGGTATGCTCACATTGACGACGCCAAGAGGACGAAGCTCGAACCAAAGAGTTACCGGTGTATGTTCCTCGGATATGCGGAGAACACCAAGGGATACAGGGTGTTCAATCTGGAAAGGTCGAAGGTTGTCATATCGCGCTCCGTAAAGCTGGACGAGCGGGAAGTTGAAGGCATATACGACACGGTGGTACCAGATAAAATACCAGTCGTCAAGTATATAAGAAACAAAAAAAAATGAAGCAGTGATTCCGGTGGTTCGTCCGTATGATGGAGACGAGACGATGGAAGATGTCGAAGAAAGCGCTCCTGATGTCGAGATGGACGAGATAGAATCGGCTCCATTCGAAACAGGTATCATCATACCTCAAGCACTCGATCCAGAAACTCAAGAACCAAGAGGCGATAAGATAACGGGATATCAAGCTCCGAGACAAGCTTTTCAGGAGGACAGGTTGGTATTTCAGCCGGAGATAAATCGGACAAGACGCTCACGAGACAGAATGCTGCTGCTTGAGAATGGGAATAGCAGTGAAGACACGTCAGAAGGTAGCGATGGACCACCTTCTCCAAAGCGTGCAAGAATTGATGACGAAGGTCTCATTGCAGAGGCTGTGTTAGCCTATGCTGCAAGCGTTGGCAAGGCGGACGACGCTCCATCAACATACAGCCAAGCGTTTAAAGGCGAAGACAACAGCAAGTGGATTCAAGCGATGCAAGCGGAGCTCAAGGCGCACGCCGATAACGGGTCCTGGACACTGGTACCAAAACGGCAAGACATTCGACCAATCGGGTGCAGATGGATATTCGCTAAGAAGCGAAACGAACACGGACAAGTGGTGCGCTACAAAGCTCGACTCGTCGCTAAGGGGTTCAAGCAGAAATTCGGTGTCGACTTCTTCGAGACGTACTCTCCCGTGGCAAACATGAACTCGATCAGGGTTGTGCTAGCTGTGGTGGTGACAAAGGGATACGTCACTGAGCAGCTGGACGTAGACACGGCGTTCTTGAACAGTGATCTCAAGGAAGAGGTGTACATGGAAGTGCCAAATGGCATAGCCAATGCGGAGAAGATGATGTGCAAGTTGGACAAGGCAATCTACGGTCTCAAGCAGGCTGCAAGTGCGTGGAACAAGACAATCCATGCTGTATTCTTACAGATCGGATTTCGTAGCAGCGGAGCAGATCAGTGTATCTACGTCAAGCATCAAGATGACAACTATGTCTATGTTTGTCTCTACGTCGACGACATGATCATCGCCGCCAAGACCAGCAGGGAGATTCAAGAGGTCAAGACAGCACTCAAGAGCTCATTTCGTATGAAGGAGCTAGGCAAGGCTAAATTTATTCTTGGCGTGGATATTGATCATGACCACAACTGCAGTAAGCTGATGATTCGACAGACTCGATACATCGATGATGTGGCCAGCCGTTTTAATCAAGAGGACGCAAAGGCAGTGGTCAACCCATGCGAGTCCGGCCTGAAGCTGTCAAAGAAGCAATCCCCAACGACGGATGTCGATAGAGCAGAAATGCAGTCAAAGCCGTACAGGTCGCTGATCGGATGTTTGCTATACATCACGACATGTACGCGCCCAGATGTGATGTATGTCATCACGCAGTTATCAAGGCTTTTGGAAAATCCAGGTCAGCAACATTGGAAGGCAGCCATTCGTGTTCTTCGGTATCTCAAGACGACAAGAGGCTACGGGATAATCTACGACGGCAGCGCTAGCGAAGTAACAGCTACAGCGTATACGGACGCGGACTGGGGTAGCAACATCGATGATCGACGCTCCGTGTCAGGGATAATGGTGATCATCGGTGGCGCACCAGCCATATACAAGTCCAAGTATCAACGCACGGTGGCTCTAAGCTCTGCTGAGGCAGAGTACATGGCTTTAAGCCTGTGTACACAGGAAGTGTTATGGGTTCGTGCGCTGCTTAAGGATCTAGGTCACGAGCAAGTGGGAGCAACGTGGGTCTGGGAAGACAATCAAGGAGCAATTGGGCTTGCCAGCAATGCCGGCTACAATGCCAGAACCAAGCACGTTGACATTCGTCACCACTTCATCCGGGAGAATGTGGCCCACGATATCATCGTGGTCAAGTACATCTCCACCATGGACCAATTGGCCGACATGCTAACGAATGCTCTGGGGACCAAGCGACTGAACTATTTGATACAAGCAAGCTGCATTGGACCCAAGGACATTTAGCAATAGCGGTGAGTGGGAGTGTTAACATAGCACCATCTACTGCTTTTTATGTTCATGGATAGGTTTGGAAGAATCGAGAAGGACTGGCTGAGAAGAAGCACAGCATGACGTCATCGGGTGACGTCACAAGGAGAGCTTCTTAAACCTTCTGGAAGATCTTGAGAAGATCGAAGGGTGTTGATTGGTCTAGATAAACCAGTGAACCTTCAAGAAGATCTTGAGAAGATCGAAGGGTGTTCATTGGTCTAGCTAAATCAGTGGGACTGATATAGTTTGTCTAAGTATAGGAAATGAGTGGCTTAGAGGTAGCGAAGCAAGTTTGCGAACTAAGGACCATAAATATATTCACTTCACAATTTGCCTTCGCCTGCGCACATCAACCTCAACATGACCCGAGTTATATCTGAGCTTACAGTCGCATTTCATTGTAGCCCCTCCACGCTTTTTTGGATAAAGTACAATCGTGGCGGGACGTGGTGTTCCGCTATGATCGCGCTTTATCTAATACTTGCAACCTCAAGTAGATCGTTCGACAGTAACAGAGAGTGCGATGATAAGCATCCACGAAAGCAAGAAGATTATCTTGGTACCAAAGATCTGTCATGGTGGGTGGTCATACACTTATTGATTACAGACAGTTTGTGATCTGCTCTGAAGCATTTTCATCTTTTTACTTGCCTAGCCGTATTTCGAGCCGATGGTCGATCATGTTAGCTAGAGGCTTCCATTGAGCGTCCATAAAAAGAATTTTGCGGTCGGTAATGTATGGCAAAAAAGGGATCCTTGTACATGGCATTGATTTAACAAAGCTTTCATCTTGCAATTTCAAGGTGTAATTTAACAATTTTCTTCATTTACCCTTCAATGATTGTTTCTTTTTTACATATCAGGAAGCGAAAAATGATTATGAGATCGTCAATACAAAATGGAAAGTGCTTGAACAACAGTCCATTAATCTTCCGCGTGAACAACAAGCAGTGGTTCCAGACAAATGGATAGCTCGTTGAGTAAGACTACACTGTCATAAAGTTGAGAACACTAGAAGTACATAGAGAAAACCGTAGACGCCCTGCAGATTCCAGCAAAATTCTCGAAGTTGTACAAGAGGAAAAATTTCAGCCAAGTTCGAGAATGTGGAACAGGATAAGCTGCTGAAATGCAAGAATGGGTGTTGTGGTAAGCTAGGCCACGATAAACGAAGGTATAAAATTTAGTACCAGATGCTTTAAATCTAAAAAAAATTTGTGACTGATCACCCTATTAGACACGGTCAAAAAATAAAGGCCAGAAGTTGTATTGATAAGCAGCGTACTTCCTCGTGTTGAGGCCGTGTTGGATGTTGTAAGTTTTCATTCGCGTGAATTTAAGTAATCAATGCGACGGATAAGGAGCTAAGATTCAAGAAAGCGTGTTTGAATCTACTTATTAGCTTATTTCAAGCCGAATTATTCAGCGATTAGACAATATACAAACTCTGTAATCGCCGTAATCATTCTGCTTCAGTAAAAAATGAGTAGATGAGGATAGTTGAATGACTGTGCGAAGGTTTGGGAAAGCATCTTTGATTTTATCTTCATTCAGGTACTTCTAACATGACATCGTAATAAGCCGAGATTGTCATTATCTGATCGTGCACCGAAAATTGACACAGTCAAATCAACAATTTTACTTAATCATTACATCTTCAATGTTCTCACCTTCTCAGCATAATTCGCTGATATTACCATACTTACGATGCTTTTTCTCACACTAAAAATCTAGGTTTTGGGGATGGATATAAAAAGCACTCATATGCAGCACTCAGGTTTAAAGAGATGCGAGTTGTACGCTATGAATAAAGGCCTCTTGGCTGATCCACTAAGTGCATCACATGCGTAGTAAAAACAGAATACACAGCTGCGCATCTTGGAAAAACGAATCCAAAGAAGACCGAATATGTTATTCACTTCAAAATCCACGACCAGTGAAGGTAAAACATTCAGATACGCTGCGTTTTTATCGCGGCGTAGACGTGTTAGTACTTATCACTCACGATGTTCAAATAAAAGTAAACAAGACATGCAGATCCACTGACTATTGGAGCTCAGAGGTCTCTTAATAAGTCACGTGCAACAAATTTCGTGCATCACACATTCAACTGAAATCAAACCCTGACGCTTTCTTCAAAATTGTCGCTGTCTCCGACCTTCATCGATTCGTTGTAAGTATAAGAGCTCATCGAATCGCCAGTAAGGGCACGCCCAGGACCAGTAGTAAAAGCTTAGTTGCAAGAGTACCGATCCACTTGATTTAACACCGAATGCGCCACGGCATGGTAAATATCTTGCATTGCCGAAAATGAGGTCACTATTTTGCTTGAAGTGATAACTGTGTTGAGCTTTGTGTGGCGAAGTGGTTTCCGCAAAATTATTGATGCAAAATATTACCTTCAATGGGCCCATACAAACGAAGAGCGACGAGGGTACCCCGGACCTTGTGTATGGTCTTGTTATGTTCCTTCTCACCTTTTGTACCCATCGGCTGGAAATTCGCACACTTTAATGAGACTTGAGGTAGATGCCTGTCTTGACCAATTAGGTTACAGGCTGTGTATGTTTGCGTGCAAATTTTCGATGCGGTCATCGCTTACACTAAGCCCCCCCCGGAGCCACCTTGGCCTTTCTTGAGGTCGCCTTGCGCTAATGTTGATCCTTGATATCCTTGTTCTTCTGACCAGTTGATCCACCTGATGATATATTCAATAAAAAGGCCACGTCCAATCGAAGGCTAACTTTTACAAGCATAGTCGTCCCTAGCCAAGCAGTATGGGTACAATCCTTGAACAAACACGTAACAGCAAACCATGAGCGTCGGGTTGACACAGTTATTTCATTTCGGAAGGATGCTGACGCATATCGTTTGCAGGAAAATCAATGGTGTTCTAAATGAGCACATTAGCATCCAGTAACACTCTAAGAGATCCACATACCTCAGTTTATGCTGCGTAGCTTTTTCTCCCACCATCTATTATTCATTTAAGTGTTCTACCCCGACTACCATCATGACCGTTGGTTACAGGCGATGATCATAACGGATGTTGAAATTCGCTGACCGTTTTATCTACCAATAGCCATATCTAGTGACTGTTGTCAATGGTAACAAGCGGTGGCCTTAACTGATGTTCAGACCGGCCACTCTTACTTCATACGATATAAACCTCTGACTACATTCCCAAAGCATCCATGACCGGTTTCAATAGTATATTATGCTAGAAGTTGCGACTTGTCGTGATTTTTCCCAACCGCTTCACCCCATTTGTAACGTGAAAGAGCATTTAGTTTCTGATTACAAATGTATTACTTTAAAGAAGCAGTGCCCAACTGTACTATGCATTTAAAAATAACAACACACCATGAGCATCTATTTACGTACATTGGCTGCGTTGCTCACTACAGTACGATGCTTTCCTTATCCGTGTCGAACATTATTTAAAGCGTCTAAAGTATAAAAATTAAACTTCTCAAGTCAATCGTATTGCAGCAAAATGTAGTGGCGTTCAGTCTAAAGTCGATGTTACTTAAGACTACAGAAAGAAAAATTAGAATATCCCCACAGCCAACATTGCACAATTATTCTCTAGTAGAAAACATCCGCGTCGCTTCATCGCTGTTCCATACGCATGACAGGACGACAAACGACTAGAATTTATTTCGTTTTTCACAAAACATGATTCATTAGCATTTAAATTGAAAAATGAAAGCTTACGTTTACTAACGTACGATTGTGAGTAAATACACATATCAATAAAAATTGAACGTGTTAGTGGATGTAAGAGATATGAGTGTGAACACTAGGTTTGGCAGGAAGGGTGTCATTTAAAGGAAAAGTAGTGCGAATTCATTATATCTCTAAAATAATATAGAGACCAACCGAAAGACACTCTCTACTTACTACGTGGACACCCCTTTTAAGCAGATGGAAATCTTATCTTATGATGCCAGTGCCTACTAGGCTGATTAAATATAGATAGCCATCACATGGCAAACAAAAGGTCACATCCTCCTCCACTCCTCATCCACTTAACCACACCTCATGTTTACACAACATTTATTGTGATCTTGTGTAACGGGGTAGCCCGTTACATGAAATTGACACCCAAAGGTGTCGATTGGAAATATTGTTTAGCGTGACAAGTACCTACCAATATTATCCGAGATGGATAATATTGAAGGAATTTTATCCCCCTTTTGGATAATATTCATGCGATGCTCAAAGATTGTTTGATGTAAGACATATCAACCCTAGATTACCACCAATCGCTGCCAGACGCGCGCAATGAGTGGTGAGCAGGTTTTCGTCATGCGACGGCGTATTTTAATATAGTTAGATAGCGATTAAAGTTGTATTGATAGCTTAACTCTATTAAATACAATTCTCTTTTTACCTTTACTTGAACGAGTCCTTCAAGTAGATTAGCTTCCTCTGCACGTACTAGTGTACGAGAAGTTTCGCGTCACCACAAACAAAGGGTGCCCCGCTACACCTGGTAGCACTTAGTAGTCCGTCCAACGACTGCTTAGAGTCCGTCCAACGTGAATATGTCAGATGTAGAACACTACAGCTTTCACGTCACACGTGAAGGCTACTCCCATCTGAGTGACTCAGAATGGGAGGTAGTAGGTCGCATGAGTGTGCTCATGGGCGAACCCGCCATCAGTGGTATGTTGGAGTCCTTAAGCAAAGACCAGCAACATACTGCTATCAACAAGTTACTACAAGGGAAACTTGCCTTCGAACGACAAAAGATAGCCTTGCTACAGCAGCAAGGCTCTCATAAGTCGATGGGCGAACTGACGCACATGCGTCGACCCGAAACCTTGAAGATTGATATCTCAAGGTACAAGGGAACCGATGAAGATTGCTTTTTGAGATGGTTCGTCGAGTTAGACGACGCCTTCAGGGCCCATCACATCGAGGGTGACGAGATGCAAGTCACCTCCGCCCTGTCAAATTTGACGGGACGAGCAAAGACTTAAGCCTTGGGGCCCAAGCTTCACGACCCAAACGTGTTCAAGTCGTTAAAGATCTTGAAGTCTCGACTTAAAGAAACGTCTGAGCCTCCAAGAGTCGAGTTCAGAGCACGCTCTGCACTCTTGAGGCTAAAGCAAGGTAAGCGTGACGTGCACGCTTACGCACAGCACCTGCGCTACCTTGCAAGTAGCGTCACGAAAAACCCTGTTGATGAGCACACGCTCATCAACGTGTTCATCTAAGGACTTGTGGATGGGCCGGTGAAGACCTACATGTTCCGAGATAACTTCCATAAGCTGGAAAAGGTGATAGCGTATGCGGAACAAGAAGGCTTTTGCCTGAGACAGTCTCAGGCTAACTCGTCAAACTATCGTCCGACGAGACGACAGGAAACAGGAGGTCCCGAACCAATGGACCTCTGTTACATCGAGAGCTAGAACTCTCGCTCTCTGAGTCACAAGCCAACGGCAAGATGCCACCACTGTCAGAAGATTGGACACTACGCTCATGAGTGTAGTGTCCCGAGCACTACGACACGTCCGAAAACAGGACGTGATGACCACCGTTGGCCAAGGAAAGGTCCAAGGCGCAGATCCGACCATGTCGCTAAGCCGCGACAGCAAGTCGGACCGTCTAAAACGGTCAGGATCAGTAGAGGCGGAGCACCCTGATCTTCCAGCAACGTCAAAAGAATTTTCAGGACGCTTGACGAAGATTGCTCCCAACACACAGTCTCTGTGTTTTAATGCCCCTAGTGATGAGGTGTCCCTCATCATTTTGACGATCGAAGTGACAAGTGGAATGTCACTTCGCGCCCTGGTTGAATGTGGGGCGTCGAACAGTTTCATTCGACGCCATTCGCTAGAGGATAGAAGGCTCAATATGTTGAGCGAGAGTTCCCTCCAACGAGGATGAAGGCGGGCCTTGCTACAGGCGCATCCTTAACAGTGAACAAACGTGTAGTGGGAATCCACTACACGCTAGAAGTAAGGCATCCTGATGATGACTTTGACGTAATAAATTTGGATGACAAATTTGATGTCATCCTGGGTCTTCCGTGGCTTGGAAAATTCCATCCATGGGTCAGCTGGCAGCATCGATCCGTGTAGAAGCCTGACGTTTGTTCATCGGGTGACCATATGATGAACGTCTTGGAGCGTCCACACGTGTGGATGTACTACGAGTGAGTGCGATGGACTCACTTGTGCTACGGTCGTTAGTACGATTTCACAAGATCACAGTGTAGAAGGCCACTACACTGTGGAACCAGCTTTCGGCACCTGTGTAGAGACACAGGCTGCGCCGAGGGTTCACCACTCGAAGAGATCGAGTGGACTGGAACACGTATGCACACCAAAAAGGGTGCATCCGAGAAGAGAGATTAGTGTTGTTCAGGATGAACAACACGTTGAAGCGGGATCGACTATCAGAGAGTCGATCGTAGAGCAAGCCCGATCGACTGAGAGAGAGTCAATCGAAGAGAACGTGACCGTTATAGTACACGTTATGAAAGAAAAATCCAGCGTTCCTGAGAGCAATAACCCCCGAGAGAGTTATGTTGAGGGTGTGGATCCCCAACCACCTGCGGATGTGTTTTCCCAGGAAATCACCAAGACAGTGAATGTCTTGGTGAATGACGAATTAAATGTAGGCGCTAATACACTTGATCTGGTTACACCTCCAAAGTCAGCTTCGGAGGTGGTCAAGTTGCCAACGCTAGAATCTAATAGATTCTTGCGATATCTGCGTAGTGACAAGATCAAGCAGATCTGCGTACTCGTCACAGAGGACGCGTACATCGCCGATATTCGGTCGGCACAAGTGTTTGCTGAGAACAAACGGGTTTTCAGCAGCTCATGAAGAGAAGTGAGTGTCTTCAACGAGAAGACCCGGATAGAGCATTACACGTCTCAATCTTGGGAGTCTTTCAAGGCAAATCCTTTGTATAAGGATTTTGTTAAATTCAGGGATGTTTTCCAGTGTTCCTTGCCATGCGAGCTGCCTAAGGACAAACGCACTCGGCATGAGATCTAGCTGAAACCCGGTATGAAGTACTGTTTCATGAAGCAGTGGCCAATGCCTCGTGAACAGGTAACAGCGATTGACAAATTTTCTGCCGATCGTTTAGCGGCTGGTCATGTGAGGGAAACAACATCCCCAGCTCTTCGACCTTCTGTGTGCGAAAGGCCACCGGAGGGTGGCGGATAGTGCACGCGTTCAACAATTTGAAAGCTGCAACGGTACCGGCTCAAACGCCGATCCCAAGAAAGGATGCCATCATAGATGGTATGGCAAAGAGTACCATCTTTTCGTCAATGGATCTGATGGATGGGTTCTATCAGATCCTCATGCTTGAACGGGACATCCCGTACACAGCAGTGAGCACCCCCAGTGGTATGCTCTGTGATTGGCTAGTGATGCCACAGAGGCTAAGTAACGCCCCGCAACGTTTAACAGATGTGCTAAGAATCTGTTTGTATCGGTGCGCGACTTCGCACCGAGTCACTTTGACTATGTCTTCGTCCGTAGCCGGGCTATGGATGGAAAGACGGACGTAGAGGTTCATAAAATCCACGTCCGGAAGGTTTTTACTCTAATGCGAGAGCATAAGTTGTTCGCCAATCTCAAGAAGTGTATATTTGCAGTAAAAGGAATGCCACTTCTTGGCTGCATCGTGGGTAAAAACGGTGTACGCCCTGATCCGGAAAAGATCAAGGCGATTAGCGACTGGCCTGTGCCAGTCGACGTCAAGGGACTTCGAAAGCTCTTTGGCTTAGCGGCGTACTTGCATAAGTACTCGCGCAATTACGCCGATATGACCGTACATCTCTATCATCTACTAAAGAAAAACGAGAGGTGGTCATGAAGCGCTGAGTGTCAGCACTCGTTTGAAGGCATCAAGAAAAGCTTGGCGCAATCGCCTGTGTTACCAATTGCAGATCAGGATAGACCATTTCATGTGGTCTGTGATGCCAGCGTTTTTGCAATCGGCTGCGCGTTAATGCAATACGACTCAGACGGCGTTGAGCGCGTCGTCTGTTATCAATCGCGTCAGCTGCAAGCAGCTCAGTGAAATTACCCGGTGCATGACCTGGAACTCCTTGCCATGAAATATGCACTGGCTAAGTTTCGGGTATATCTCGTAGGAGATAGGCCCTTCATCGTTTATACCGACCATGCGTCACTACGCACGGCCGTGAACAGTCCACACCTCTCGCAACAAATGGCGAGGTGGCTGTATTTTTTTGCGAAGTGCAACTTCTCCGTCGAGTATTAACCAGGACGAATTAATGTAGATGATGATGCTCATTCGCGTTGGCCCGATTTTGAGCCGACTGCTCAACACAACAGTAGGGGTGATCCCACTGTAACGACACTAACAGTGAGTGTTCCGTCGTCGAATCTTCTCGACGACGTGCGGAAGGCATACGCAGAAGATGAGTCTCTTCTGCGAGGTTGATGAATTATGCATCCAATCCATGCAGTCAAGCTTTACAAAGCTTGTCGTCTCATTACCGCTCATCGACCGAACGGTATTCGGCTTGTGATGGACTGCTGTGCTATACAGCAGTCAACGGCGACACACCTCGTGTCGTCGTTCCGGCTCATAATGATTTGCGATTGCGCATCATGTATGAGTGTCACGATGCCCCAACAAGTGGGCATCGCGGTAAAGAAAAGACTTACCTAACAGTAAGTAGTGACTTCTACTAGCCCCACAAGTATGAGTTTGTGCGCAAATACATTCGCGCTTGCGAAGTTTGTCAACGGGTGAGCCTAGTCTTTCATCCCGCGCACCCTTGCAGCCTCTTCCGATTCCGGCAGAGTGTTGGCATCCGTATTAATGGACTTCGTCTTCGGGTTTTCCAAAGACTTTCACAAAAATGCTGGTATTCTTGGGTTTGTTGATCAGTTCAGCAAGATGGTACATCTTGTTGCTATTCCGGAGTCGATCACAGACCATGGCTGTGCGCGTGGCTTCATTAATGCTATCTTCCGACTTCACGGGTTACCCCGTGAACTCGTGTCTGATAGGGACCCCCGCTTTACGGCGGAGTTCTGGCAATCCGTGTTCCGTTCACTTGATACACGTTTAAAGACGTCGACTTCTGACCAGACAGAAACAGATGGTCAGACGGAATGCGTCAATCGCGTCCTCGAAGAGATACTTCGAGGATATGTGCACTCGTTCACGAGCTGGAGTGAGTTCTTGACGATGGCGTACTTCGCCATCAACAACTCGGTGCACGCGTCGACAATGCATACACCGTTCTTCGTGAATGGCCTACGACATCCACGTTTACCCACATTTTTTTATTGTAACTCTAGTTTAAGGGGGGGTGGACTCGCTCGAACAAAACCCGATCTGTTTCTTGCTCATCACCAGTCGACAATGGTGTCGACGTGATGGATGCCGATGTCGATGGTATCGATGTCGATGATGACGATAACGACAATGCTGGTATATTCAGCATCGCCAATGACTGCCAAAGTGAGGACGATGACACCCTGACTGGTGAAGACAACGTTCTTTCAGCAGTGCACACGAAGCGCACTTCTGTTGACAAGGATAAATCAGCAGAGGAGTTTCTGCTGACTCGCGAAGAGGTTGTCCGCTTCGTTCAAGACTCTACTGCAGATGCACTAGACAGACAGAAAAGAAACGCAGACAAACTTGGAACAGCAAATGTTCTTTCATTTGATGAAGGAGACCTAGTTTTACTGTCTACACTAAATCTACCAAAACACGCAGTGACAAACGTGGGCAGCAGTAAATTACTGCCCATGTACATTGGTCCATTTCGTGTGTTGCGCCAAACAGGCAACGCATGCACAATTCAACCGCCCCGTAAGATGCGTACGCATCCTACGGTTTACGTTGGTCGTCTCCGCCCGTACTATCAGTACGAGCCCGTTTTGAGATGCAAAGAACACCTCCGCGGTCGAGATGCGAGACCGCCCTCGAGTGGTCCCGTTTCAACGACTCGGTCTGGTCGACTAGCGAAGCAACCCGTTTACGCAGTTCAGCGATGTCTCAATGAGCTACAGCCAGCTTGTCACGAAGTAAACGAGTCGAACGTTCGTTCTCAATTTGAGCAAACGCAAACGCGACACGATCGTTCGAACGATCGTTTGCTAAGGAATTGTTATTATCCCTTACAAGATCATGGAGATCATAACGCCGAGTCCGTTCATGAGCCAGGTCATCTTGCAACTGTTCCGTTACACGGTTCATCTATTGAACATCAAGCTGGTCCGACCCTCGGGCCGGATCAGGTGTTCTCGCCGCCACCACATCCATTGGAGTACTCAAGCGGTGGTCAACGCTTTCTAGTAAAGCGTATTTGGAACCACCGCGACGTGAATGGTGCCCGGACGAGCTACCTCGTCCGCTGGCGTGGCTATCCACCGGCGTGGGACAGCTGGGAGCCCCGTGCCCAGCTGATTGTTGATGTCCTGGGTCTGGTCGAGCAATATGACGAGACCCACCCGCTGTGTTAGAAGGAGGGCCGTCGGAAAACGACCTCTCCGAACGCAAGTGCAGGGATTGTAAGGTGTCAATCCCTTCGGCCATATCAGAAAAGATGCGCGCCCTCCAGAAGAGATCATTAGGGAGGTAGGCCTCCCTAGGGGCACGATTTGAGCTGTCTAGGCAACCAGGACACGAAGCACCCCACGAGAGACAGGGTAATACTGCCTCTCTTGATAGCCGGTGCAACTTGTACCTTACACCGACTGAGTTGCGCTTCTCAAACCTGATGCAAGCTGCATCAAGTTTGGCGGCTAGGCCTGGCGGCTAATGCACTCGATGTTATGGATGAGGGCATTTCATCCCTGCATCAAGGCTTTACCGTCTCGAACAAGACTGCCATTGTACCACCGATATTTAAAACGCATCAGTGAAAAACTCTTCCTCAGCACGGATTCTTTCCGTGCTGGAATCAGGTGGACAAATCTTCCTGCAATCGAACAAAGGGATTTGATCTCGTTCGGTAGTCATGCCGAACAACCGGTCCAACTCTCTGGATGACGGCATTAGCGGATACCCCACTTGAGGAGCGTGGCGCAGGACATTTCGGTCCCTGGCCTCTTGATTGGTGCCAGCACGAGCACTGGCACCAGTGTTACCCCGAACCCTTGAATTACTCCGCTCGTGGTGATGCATAGGTGCACCACCACCATCCTCACGCATCCTATCGTTAGACGGACTTGCGTGAGGCGGAGATTCATCGGAATAATCACTCGATCCGAAGATCTCGGTCAATATGCCGCCGCGTTGACCAGAGCTAGTCAACCTGGCTCTTGCAGTGTCCGCCCAGGGTGATCCGGAGGCGTGAGGAGTCGACTTCGAGTCGGATGCATCATCCGACTCGCCAGAATAGATGAGCTCTATCTCAAACTCATCCGAATTACGATTCGCACAACCCGCTGCAGACGCAGCGGATTTACCTGTCGCACGTGGTGACTCACCACGTGGACTGTTCACAGCAGCAGGTGTAGAATCACCCGCTGGAGAGGTGTGAGAGGCGCTTTCCGCGGCCGCACGCGTGCGTGCAGCCGCTCTTCTTGCTGCTGCAGTAGCATCTCGCGTGGTTTTGGAAACCATGCGTTGGATTGGCAAATGAATGATATTTGACCAACAAATGCTCCCTTTCTAAGAATGACCCAAAGGTGGTCACCCTGTCCCGATTAATTCTAATTCAATCAACGAGTGATTGTTGGCTGGGGGGGGTAATGTAACGGGGTAGCCCGTTACATGAAATTGACACCAAACGGTGTCAATTGGAATATTGTCTAGTATGACAATTACCTACCAATATTATCCGAGATGGATAATATTGAAGGAATTTTATCCCCCTTTTGGATAATATTCATGCGCTGCTCCAAGATTGGTTGATAAAAGACATGTCAGCCACTGATTACCACCAACCGCTGCTAGACGCGCGCAATGAGTGGTGAGCAGGTTGCCGTCAGACGACGACGTAGTTTATTACAGTTAGAAAAGATTTAAGTTATGTTGATAGCTTAACTATATTGATACAGCTCAATTTGTACCCTTACTTAAACGAGTCTTTTAAGGTAGATTAGCTTCCTCTGCACGTACTAGTGTACGTGAAGTTTTGCGGCATCCCAAACAAAGGGTGCCCCGTTACATCTTGCCCTACTTTTGCATAGTATTTTTCTGGTCTCTTGCTTCAGATGTAGGAGAGGGTGGAAATCACCTCTTGCCATAACCCGTCTGCTTATATGTATGAAGAAGATAACCATGCAATCGTTTATCTTTCTTTAGATGCACATTTCCTTTTCCTAGATGATATCCTATAATAGTGAATACGATGAATGTGATCACAGCACTGAAACAAGAACAAAATTTATTTAGCAGCATCATGGAGTGCATTAGAAGTAACAAATATTGTGTTTCGTAGGCTGATACTACTCCTTTAAGCTCGAAGGCGTGGATAAGTGTCCGTTCTGGGATACAGAGATCACCTGATACTCTTACACTTCTTGTCAGACCTTTTTTATTACTCGCTCTAGCATATAGATTAGCAAATTGATTGGTATATCATGCAGTGTTGATGCAGATAGTGTTATCCCTATGTGTAGTTGACAGTCGCCCGGTCCCACGATTTTGCTATGTTTGAGAATATATTAGACAAGTGCAGGCTTCCCAATGATTTGTATCAACTATTAGAGTGAATAGAGATGTGACACTAAGAGGACAGCAACGTGGATCATTGTGTTTTCGTGCCTCTGCTCCTTACCTGGGGGCGCAAATAAAGCGGTACCTAACACATCGCCAAAACATTTACGTTTGTAAAAATGAAAGACAAAAATAATGTGGTGGAGTAGTATAGTATCTGTATCAGTGTAAAGTTTCTTATCAATTTATCGTGACAAGATCTGTTTTTTATAAAGCTACTCGTGCAGCAGTTAAATATGCGATGACACGAAAAAACAATGCTGCCTTGTCTACCGTAATTAAAATGAAGCTATCACAACCAGTGCTAGAGAAACAACCTCTATTACGCATACTAAGCGCACTCTCGATGACCCTACGGCTTACACGAAATACAGAGGTGTTCAGCAGGAGTGAAGAGGCTCGTATCAAATCTCAGGGTTCATCGTCATTGTAAGATAAGCCTTAAATTTTTATAATTGGTATACAAAGAGTAAGAAGGGTTGTCAAGCAGTCATTACCAAAATGTACACCACATGTTTGAGCCTCAAAATGATATGTTTATTGCAAGACAGAAAAATTTAACGAGCACCAAGTTGTACACAAGTCATGACAAAATCCAGTGATGAGGTCGGTTTTTGTCAAGAACCCTGATCTTTCTGAGTGATGTCGAATTATAAAATTCAAGCTGAGACACGAAACGTTTTTTATGGTAGTGAGGCGCCTCTGAGAAGCTTTGGCCTGGATGGTTAGATTGTGCGGCAACTTGATGATGAAGAGACTTTTTGCGAAGTGGCAATGTTGTTCACACAAGCCGCATCCCTGATTTCTATCGCAGCCAGTGTAATTTGAATTAGGTTTAAGTTGAGATAGTTCTAATTTAATTTGATGGCTGAGAATTTCGTGTCAGTTTTCGCGGCGCTTATCAGACAACTACACCGGCAACAAAACTTGATAAATGAAACATGTTTGCAACGCCAGCCAATCAATAGAAAAAGGCAGTAATACAGTCAAAGGTAGGGAGATGGTAAAAAATTACACCGCGTAGATATCATGAAATATTTAAGGGTGAAGAATTTATCTTGTAAGCTTTCGCATAAAGAATGGGTTGTCCGAATAATGTGTCCACATCTTAAACAGAAACGTTCAAGCAGCTGAAACAGGACGATAATTTTAATTCCTTAGCAGCGCCTAATGCTCATGAACGCGTAGGAGTTCTACACAAAAATGGTCATCATGAACGAGACATTGACATCAGTAGAAAGGACAAATTGTGTTTTAGAACAGCGTATGCCGTTCTATAACACAATTTATATGGCGTCTTTTGACGGATTAAAATGTCGCGCAGATCGCCAACTTTACTCTATTCGTTGTAAATATGGACGGTTTCGTGCTGCGTTGCATGCAAGATGCTGGGAAAGTCGCTATGGATAACTTTTCACAAAACTTGGGCAAGGGAATATCGAAATAAATGCTAAGCTAGATCACCTAGTTACTAATTTTTTTAAAACAGCACTTCCCTGGATGTTTCGCCAGTTTTACAGCTTGGTATCCCTAGGATGAGTGTATTAACATCAATTAGATTGTGCGCGCGATGCGAACGTCGGGAGGCTCGTTGGTCCCCTGTTTCTGCGCAAGTGACAATGAATTTCATTAAAATAGCGTTCGCGATCTGAAGAAGGCTTACCGCAATTAGGATCCTTTTGTAACGCAAACGATATGTACATATTTATGTGTGCACTTATTAAATACCTTTCAAAAATTCATGTAAAATTATTACGTGTCAATTTAAGAACTTAGAAAAGTTTGTGGTGGGATTACAAGCACATTCAAAGTAACATTATTTGTGAAGAGCTACTTCTCCATCCTCCTTCGGGAAAAAGGCTTCACCGCATGAGTTTGACGGTCTTCTCACTGTTATCAAAGATGCACACACGGCAGTTCAAGCGCCTACAGAGGCCCACATGTGATCATCCGCGTTCTGTTGCTACGGGAATTTCGTAGACGTGTCCTCCCATTTACCTTGTTCTTTTCAGCTTGATTTTGTGTCGTCTCGAAAACCTCTTCAGTGTCGGTTCAGAGACTGCCCACTTTTTTCGAGCTGATTTTGACGTTCCTTGCATGTACGCAAGATCATGTAAGACAAACTTATCAAGGATCGTATCCCGTACCGCAAATTTCTTGCTTACGGTTAACACGGATCGTCCGTATAAAGGGAGGCCTGCCAATACGGCATGTCCACCTATAAGGAGGAGACAAGCGACATCGTACTTGGGAAGATGTATTACTCACGGGCACGATAGGAGACAGGCCATATCGCACTTACCATGAATTAAAAGGTACAACTTGCATATATCAGCGGACAAATACAAATGAACGGACAGGACGAATTGCAATTTGTAAGACGTGTGAGGTACATCTATCGTTACTCACGACAACAACAGTGACGAATTTATCGCACTTGTTGGGATATATACAGCAAAACTGGCGTTATCTACATATTGAGGAGGTGACATATAATATCGCACCAAAGGTTATGTTTCAGGTGCTCCGTGGGTTATTTACACACACATACAGACGGACCGACGGACAGATGAGTACTATTGAAAAATTGAAATTAATCTTGCGCACAAACACTGACAGCTTCCTATTCGGGCCCGCAATCATTTAACGGACACATCCCGTTTAAGTTTGACCCATCCTCGATAATTGATGGAAAGCAAGGTGCTACTTATCACGAGATGCTAATTATCGGATAATATGAGAGTCAGTTAGGCTGTGGACGTGCCGCTTAAACTTGCTCTGGATGGGAACTGTGCAGGAGGCACTTGATGAGTGGCTTAATTATAGCGGTGGCCAGTAATGTATGCTTAGGAGCGGTTGGGGCCTTACAAGGCATGTCGATCGTATGTGTACTTGCTGTGTACGGTATGGCCATTGCAAAAAAAACTTCATCCCTCTCTCCGGGAGAGACAAAATTTTAAAACCTAGCCGAAACAGACATTCGAAACGACCGATGGTTCACACCTTATATATCTAACATATGAGAGCAATCTCTGAAGCTCTATATTATGAGTAATTGAGTCCATAAAACTGAATTTGGTTTCGTACGTAAACGTACCTTGCGCTCAGTCACCAATAGCTACCCTTCGTGCTCCCAATAATCCGTATTGACAACAAACAGGGGACAAATGCAACATCACACTTAGTACGAAGTCAAAAGTACGCCTGTATTATTCACATACCAGTGTTCCTTTTACAGATCCCACCGATAACTAATAACAACCGCTATTTTATAGGGTTCGACGTCTATTAAGGTCGCTCTGGGTCATCGCACACTAACTTATAACTTACGGAAATTTAAAATGCCCCATGTATTTAGAAAAAAAAAACCTTCATGTCTTCGTATTCATTAGTTAACATCTTCCACGTACCGACATTGTGCTTCGATGAGGGACCTAACACATCGCATTTACCATTCACGGAATATGCTGACACGTCTGACGTACTAAAACTACCAGCCCTCATCACGGTCACGTGGCTATCCACCATGACAGAGTAAACTTATACTATGCTCGCGTGTCAACACAACATTCTTTCAATGCATATCCTCGAAGGGCAAAAGGCTGCAAGCTAAATTTCTTAATGAAACTTAGGTCGAATTAGCGGGTGTGCAGTCCTTAAACATTCATAATCATTACAAAATGATATAAAATCTACCTTACAGGGATATATTGAGTAGTATGTAGCACATCGTAACAAGGTAGAACGTGGTGTGCCACTCCGTTATGAACCTATGAGGGTCGCATGCCAAGTACTGACACAATCCATAGAGATAATTTTCGTTATAACATTCATGTAGTACCAACAAAAGTTGGTTTTAAGAACAATTTAATATATAGTAAAAGGTCAACAGAATAATCAAA